AAGCTGAGATCTTTTGTGTCACAGAAGGAACTAGAGATGGTGGTTCACACTTTTATTTCTTCTCGTTTAGATAACTGTAACAGTTGTTTTATGTGTCTAACGTCCTCCTTGGCTTGGCTTCAGCCTGTGCAGAACGCTGCAGTGAGGTTATTAAAGACACACAGCAGAGCCCACATTACACCTGTTTTGGCCTCTGCACACTGGTTTCCTGTGATATTGGGGAGTCATTTTAAAATGTTGAGAGCACTTCATGGTCAGGCCCCCAAATACATGTTGGATCTAAAGCCTCTCTGTCCATCCAGGACTTTGAGGACTTCAAATCAAATGCTGCTGGTGGTCCCTGGAACCCATTACAAAACCTGAGGAGACAAAGCTTTTCAGGTGGTGGCCCCGAGGCTCTGGAACGCTCTCCCTCTGTCCCTTCACTGCTCCGACTCTACAGACTCTTAATTCAATTCAATTAAAAAAATATTCATTTCAGTAAAAACAAAATAACTATATACAATAGAAACTAAGAAAATACACAAATCAAATAAACAAAATAAAATGAAAGGTAGAAGAAGAAGAAATCTGACAATGTCTGCCCCTTTTATCCCCAACATATATTCAAAGAAAAGATAATTTACAAAACAATAGTCTTAAGAAACATCCTAAGACGTTTTATTCAGACAGGACTTTAGTTTTTTTTCTGTAATTTTGTTCTCTGTTAAGCACTTTGTGATGTTTGTGTCTGTGAAAGATGCTACAGAGATAGTTTACTTACTTACAGTAGCTATATAAATTGTTGTTTTAGAGGGATTAGATGTTCTTGTCTTTTGTTTTGTTAATAACATAGATTTTTTTATTATATGAACTTATTCTAGAAAAAAGAGGCAGACAATATAAGAATTTTTCTTCTCTCTAAATAAATAAATAAATAAACGTTAACATGCAAAACCCCTAACCCTAACTTCAGCAAATGTTGACAATAAAAAGGATTAAGAAAAGCCAGACACTGGAAATAAGGTGAGGCTACCGTGAAACGCTTTGATGTTGGACTGAGCAGTAAAACTAATTGTGACATAACTGCTATAATTGACTTCTTCTCAGTGATGAATAGAGCCGAGGATCAGCTCACCTGCTCTGGATCAAAGAAAACATTATTTTAAAAATGAAAATTAAATTTTACCAATCAAAATAGTCGGTTCCAACAATTCAGGACTGCAGTTCAAGTGTATAAAAATTTTTTGGAAAAACAAAAAAGTTAAAGTTGCTTTAGTTGTACATGTATTCATCCCAGACAGGAAGAAGCCAACACAGTGTATTCTGTGTACTTTTATTTTTCAAAGTTTATCTTAATTCATTTAAAACTGACCTGGTTATATAATAAAACACTGAGGAACAAATCATCCATCTTGAGGGAGGTTACATCCCATGTCAACATGTGGGTGTAACTATGCAAAGTATGTTTATTATTCGTTCTTGCTCTTTGTCCTTGTACTAGCTGTCAAATATAATTACCTAATGCAGACAACAGAGATAATTTGAACTTTAAGATTACTTAATGATGACTTGCTTTTTGTTGTGGGGGGCGTGGCCAGGTGAGAGGATGGAGATAAAAAGAGAGGCTGAGGGAGAAGGAGACAGCAGCCCTCTGGAGACAGAGACAAACACCACGAGACTAATCTGTCCGACAGCAGCGGAGGAAACCTGAACAGAAGCTTTCATCTTCTTCATATAGAAAGTAAGTTTTTTTCTCATTTTTTTAACTCTGCATTTTGAGTAAATTATAAATCTTTTCTGAAACATATGAAGGTAGATGGATTATTTAAAGACGTGAACCTGTAAGAACTGCATAAAAATAAGTATTAAACGGTTGTAATAAATTTCCACTCATCTGTGTCTTCCAGCTCTTGATAGGTTTGTGTCGAGCCTCCACGATGCTCCGTCCACTGCTCTACCTGTGTGTCCTCATGGCACTGCAAGGTAACCCAGACCCACAGCCTTTTCAACACTATTTACTTCTGTAAAAGTACAAATACCACAATTTGCAAATCGTTAAAAGTGAATTTATCTAGAGAACCACAAGTCAGGAAGAAATCTTGTGTGTTTTTGTGTTTGCAGGTGCTTCCACGGTTCAAATCTGCACCGTGACCGGTCCCACAATCATTGACTTTAGTGGTGAGCTCAATGATGTGACGGATCGGTGTGAGTACAATCTGCTGTTAGACACAGACTTTGAGATGTCTGCTTTCTTCCGGGACCGACACCGTAGAGATGTGAGCTTCGTGGACAGCGTGACTCTGTCGGATTCTGGCAATATCTTTGAGCTGCAACAAGGAGGCAGAGTCCTGGTCAGTAGAATTTAGTCTAACGGACACCAAACTCCTGATCCTGAGTTGTATCTTACCTCTCTGGGACATTAGTTTACCTGACTCACACAATGACTCTTTAAACTCTAATTGTGACTCAGGTGAACAGCGTTGAGGAGTCTCTCAGCAGCACACCCCAAGCCTTCAGTGATGTTCAACTCTCCAAGGATGGAAGTGGAGTGACCGCAGTGTTTGGCAACACTACTGTGTTTTTTGATGGAACCACAGTACAGATCTCCATAGAAGGTGTCGACAAACCCTGAACTGAACATAAAGATTTGAAACATACTCCTGTCTGTGTTGACCCAGTTTTAACAGCAATACATTTCTGACTCTTATTCAGACGTTACCTCCAGCATGGCTGGTCTGTGTGCCAACTCCAGTGATGTTCCAAGTGAAAGAGTCGTTGATGGCAGGTATTGTGAAAATTTTGACCCGTAGACTAATCTAATGTGTATTTTATGAAAGAAATCCAAAAGTCAGACAAAAATATTAACTTTTTTTTGCATTCCAGCTGTACCACCCAGTATACGGACCCTGCTGACAATACCATCAACTGTGTTGGCCTGACTGCACGGTGAGCAAAAATCCCTGCCTGTGTTCTGCTTTGATGTAAAGTTTTTTTGCAACAAACCATGTAAGATGACACTGTCGTAAATAAAAATGCATTTCCTCCTGATGTATTTTGTGGAACAGCTGTGAACAGCTGAGACACCCACTGCTCTCCAGCTGCAACGCCGACATCGACCCAACCCCTTACATCGACGCCTGCAGCAACACTTTGTGCATTTATTCCAGCGCGCACGATCTCAGGTGTCAGTTTATGCGGGCCTACGCCAGAGCCTGCGAACAGAAAGGCCACCCCGTACCCAGCGCCTGGTGGTCACAGATCTTCTGCTGTAAGTCGTGGACGAGATCGGCTCAATGCTGGTTCACCACATTTATTTTCAGAATAAAATATCTCAGTTTTCTTTTGCTGCAGCGAAGCAGTCCTTCTGTCAGGACAAGTTGTGCACTGACAACGAGTTCTGTGGCAGGACGTTCAGCGGAGAGAGCGCCTGTCTGTGCAGAGCTGTGTTTGCCTACCCATACAATCAAGCAAAAACCCTGGGTACGACATCTGCGGCGTTTATGAACAAGCAGAAAAAAAGCATCAAAGGGGTTTAACACTAATAAATATTCTCTCCTTTAGGTGACCCAACGAAGTGCGAGAATAACATTGCTTCCCTCAGTCTTTTTAACTGCCTGCTGGATGAAAGAGGCATCGACTCCACCCTCCTGCACCTCATCGACCCCACCTGTAAGGGCCAGCTGGACGATGCGACCAACACAATGACTTTCACCTTCAACACCTCAAACCTGTGTGGAGCAAAGATCTCGGTGGGTTCTCACTTCTCCCAGCTGACCCTTCTGCAGCACTTCTGTCGTTTGCTCATTAAAAACCAAATGAATGTGTATTTTTTTCCTGCAGGAGGGTACCAGTGAAATCAACTACACAAACGCCATCGTGAGCGACAACAACACGGGCCTCATCACCCGAAATGACCACGTGTTCATCGAGTTCTCCTGCTACCGTCCTCAACCTGAACTGAAGAGCGTGGCCTTCAAAGTCAAAGACAGCAGGTACAGGCGGGGGGGTTTGATAGTCGTCAGCGTGTTTTGAGTGACAGAAGCTAAAATGTTTGTTTTTGCTCTGCAGCTACGTTCAAATCGTGAATTCTGGGGAATGGAATTACACTGTGTCTATGACGCCCTACATAGATGAAAAATGCACTAAAGTTGTAGCTACAGAAACCGATGTGAAGCTCGATCAGAAGGTCTGGGTGGTGATAAAGACCGAGGGCCTGGATCCAAACACCATCTCTGTGGTGGCCCAGACCTGCTGGGCAACCAGTGTGTCAGATCCTGAGAGCTCACCGACATACAACCTGATCGCAGACGGGTGAGGCGAGCATAGAAATGTCTCCAATGACACTGTTTCCAAATTTTATGATTACATTTAAAACCTGCTGTTTTTTTTTCCCAGCTGCCCCAACGCTGATGATGGCACAGTTCAGGTGTGGAAAAATGGACAAGGAACTTCCACGCGCTTCTCCTTCAACATGTTTGAGTTCACCAGACAACCTAATGAAGTCTATCTGCACTGCCAGCTGCGGCTGTGTCTGAAGAACACCAAGAACTGTGTCCCGGTACGTCTCCACAGAATAACATTCACTTTGTGTTTACCTTTTACGATTGCACCAGTTTATTTTGGTCTTAATTCTCTGATTTTTGCCTTTCAGGTGTGCGCTAAAAGGAGACGTAGGTCTTCCAGATACAGCAAGAGAAACGCTGCCTTCATCAGCATGGGCTGGAGTAAATAGGTGAGACATCTGTGATGAAAGTCCTACTTTGAATTGTAATAATTTAAACGTGTCTCTGCACAGGCCTGCAGCCTGACAGACAGAGATCAGGGCTGAAAAAAACAGCTGAGCTAATCATTTCTAATTCTAATTGTATCTAATTATTTTCAGAGGTTTTCCACGGGAACTTGGACCGACCCACCGGCTGCCGACCTTCACGACCAACAAGACCCGAGTCCCGATCCAGAGACTGGACGCGTGAAAGGATGAGCTCGATTCCAGCTGCAGTGATGAAACAGCTGGAATCAGCTGCCGTTTGTTTAGGAGGAGGGCGGGACATAACTGTCAATCATCAGAAACTTTTAAATTGATCTTTTCCAGGTTTTAGTGTAAGGTTGATTTAACACAAGCACTGTCTTGTTTTTCTGTTATAAACTAACAAAATGCTAATTATGAGTAGATGTAACATGTACTTTATAAGCTATGATTTATTTTTACTTTGAATTTTAAAACTATTTATTGTACGGCTGTATTTCTGATGTTTGGGCGAACTTGAGATTTTCAAAATAAAACTGTTGCAACAAAAATCAAAAGCAGATTTGTTTTTCTTTTTAAATTCAAGTGATATTTGTGACACTGAACTAACTAAAACAGGCTGGTTTAAAGGCACAGTGTGTAGGATTTTGTCAATTCTTTTAGCCGAAATTGAGATAATCACTAATGACAATAATAAAAAACATGTCTAATCATTGCAGACAAAGACCTTGTTTTATTATTTTTAGCTTATATAAAGCTGTTTATATCTCCATGGTCGCGGGTCCCCCGACCAAGGACAAACTGCGGTGGCAG